AAAAAAAAAAAGGGGGGGGGGGGGGACGACAATGGTTATGGAGATACAATTAAATTAATTTAAAATTATTTAATTATTAGTACATTTGATTAACTAAATTAATTTTTAATACTATCATCTCTACAATATACTGACATTTCGTTATGCAGTGCAGTATATAGATAGAACTCATCAACCAGAATATAAAATTCCTCTACTAACAACTACGTAAAATTTTGGGTTATTAATTAAAGAAGATTGGCGGATGATTACGCACAATACGGTAGATAAGCTATGATGGCGACTTCTGCCATCGTAGTGTTTGTATATATTAAATCAAACAGAATAGTTCTTTATCATTTTACTACATAGATTATTAGTTTTAATTAAAGAAAATCGGCGTATTATTACGAAGAATCATGCTCCAATCTTCTTTAATTAATAACTAAAAATCTATTCTTCTTATTTGTCAAATAATATATGACTTTTTTTGTTCGCTTTAATCTAATGTAAACACATAACGGCAGATGTTGTTATCACGGCTCATCTACCGTATTGTATGTAATTTATCAATATTTTATTAATTAGTAATTTAAAGTTTTATGTAGTTGTTTGCAGAATGGTAGACGAATTTTATGTTTAGTTTGATGAGTTCTACTTATATATCGCGGCTGCATAACGGATTAGAAGACATCCTGTATATTATTATATAATGTATTTTATAATAATATAAAAAAATATCGGTGATTTATATACCACTTTTTCTATATATTTGTCAATAATAATACCAATAACTTACCTTAGACTTTATTACAGAATCTTTTCGCTTTACGAGATCGTAAGGCTCAAAGTCGGATAAATAAACACTTGAAAGTATGTAAATCAGCAAATAAATCGGTGCTTGCAGATGCAATTGATAATGAAAATACAGCTATTACTATAGCAGGTAATATAATGTAATTTTTAAAGATAGATAACCTATTTATTTTATAGTAACATCTTTATATAACAGATTAAACAAAGTTTTGATCTGTTTTATATTTTTAACCAAAGTATATATAAGAGTAAATATATCATTAATAATAATTCTTTTTAGAGTGTGTGAAACATAAAATTAAAGTTCCAAACATATCTATACATTTATAGAAGTTTATTTTCATTTGATTTATTTACAATTGTATTATTTTTCTTTGGCCATATAAATAGACCTTTCTTAATGCATATTTATCAAATTGTGTTAAAGTATAAAATATTATATTATGAAGAGAGTGAGAGAGGAGAGAGAGAGGAGAGAGAGGAGACAGAGAGGAGAGAGGAGAGAGAGAGGAGAGAGAGAGAGAGAGAGAGAGAGAGAGAGAGAGAGAGAGAGAGAGAGAGAGA